GGCGCGCGCGGACGACCGCCAGGTGGCGCTGGATGTAGTGCTCGTGCGGCGCGAGCTGCGCGGCGCGCGCCAGGCACGTCTCGGCGGCGGCGAGGCGGCCGCGCTCCACCGCCACCACGCACAGGTTGTGCAGCGCCTGCACGTTGTCCGCCTCCAGCTCCAGGATGCGCCGGTAACACTGCGCACAATACATGCCTTGTTATTCAAAACATTTCAAATTCTCATTTAACTCCGATAACCCAGTTTCTTTGACATCAAAAAATTGGGCCAATTTTTATACTTAATTTCCGATTTTATTATTAGAATTGGAATTATGACCCTGTACTGGTAAAATATGTTGCAAGGAGTGTATTTACGTACTTATACCTATCATCATCGTTTGGAGAAGTCTACCTATGTTCAGCAATCAGCAGTGGACATCTCATGGCTGATATACCAATGATATTAATAAAAATCACAGGAAATCTTTAAATCTACTCACACTTTCAGCAGCATCCAAGTCTTTAACAGAATTGATGTAAATGTCTCCGAGAAGTACTAACGCCTTCACATGGTCAGGATGATGTCGGACAAGTTGTTTTAGGAAGGGCGCAGCTTCCAATGGCCTCCGTCTGTCAGCTAAGAGTAAGGCGAGGTTGAAGAGTGCAGATCTAAAGTCTGGTTTCAGATGAACAGCTGCCCTGAACCATCGCTCTGCACATTCTGCGTCGCCCTCGTCCATACACACCATGCCGAGGTTGAAGTGTACTCGCTCGTTTGTAGCTGGAAAATAAAAAATAACAGTTATATAAACACACGGTTTTTTCCCAAAATGCTCATAAAAATGTACTTTGCTGTGCTCTGGCGCTAAAACTACTTTACAAATTACTGTCTAGACATAAATTTTAGAAAATTGTGAGTAGTTTAATTTTGTAGTTAACGTTTTTCTAGTTTTCTCGTATGTAAAAGAAAAAAAATATTGAAAAAAAGTTTTTGGCCGCTTTTTGGCCGAAGAGTACAAAATGGAAATTGGAAAAAGCACATCAATATCTACAAAACTGCCAATTTTCAAAGCTGCGGGAAAACATTACAGTTAGTACTACTAAATGACTGAACTAATAGTCGTGTTAGCAATTTCCTTACCATCTTTATCAAGTAGTTTGAGTAAACGTTGCCTGGCGAGATGTCTCAGGTCAGCGGCTCCGAGTTCTTGCAGGAGTATCGCTGAATTGAGGAGAGCTTGTTCATGTTCCGGTTCCAGCTCCAACGCTTTGTCTAAGTATGCGAGTGCTTGGGAAGGCTTGCCTTGTTCTAGGAGGACTACTCCCAGCTGGAAAAAAAATGAAGAGTGGGTTAGATGATCCTTAAACTTAGATAATATAATTTGCCAATTTCCCTAATTATCATAAATCAATATTAAGTACTCACGTTGTAGTAAATGTCAGGGTTCCCACTGTCATACAGCAATGCCCTTTCATAGACCTCCTGTGCTTCTTTAGTCCTGTTTAATTTGATTAAAATATCTCCTCTATTTATGTAGGCCTGGGTATAGTCCGCTCGCATACTTATGGCTTGTCTATACAACATGTCTGCTTCTTCTAATCTTGTTGCGTTCTTTGAAATCAAATTTGCAAGATTCAAGAATACATTTAAGTGGTTAGGGGCTATCCTAGCTTGGTATGATTCACCAGGCTTAGCCTTCGGTAGAAGAGATTTGGCTTTAACATAAGCATCTTCAGCTTCTTGGTATCTCCCTAGATGGTTGTATGTCCTGCCTACATTGATGTGGGCTCCAACGTCATCTGGTTGTACACTAACTGCTGTGTTGAAGAACTCTAGTGCTTCTGCGTATTTTCCTTCTGCTTCTAAGGCATGTCCTACGTTATTGTACAATTTGGCGTTGTTGCGGTTTACCTGAAAAAGTATCCAAAATATATCCCACTATATTCTTATACAAATACAAGTAAGTGTAATTTTCTGTGTATAAAATTTGATCATATTATCTGAAGTCTTCGTGAAACAGATTCTCATCTACTCCAACTAACCTTCAGTCCCGAAGCAAATATTGAATATTCAGTCTTCCAATCCCAATTCCTCATATAAGTTTTAGCGCTGAATGCTAGGAGAAGAAATATGAGGGCGCTGGCGGCGAGTTTGGCTCGTCTCTTGGCCATGAGACGCCAACCGTGGGCTACGAGGAGACACCAGCCCATGGAAGGCATGTAGAGAACCCGCTCAGCAACCACGAAGCCCACGGGGAAGAATAAGTTTGATGCTGGTAGAAACGGTAGGACGAGTAGTGCTAGACCCTGGAGAAAAAAAGGGAAAAATATCAAACGTGAATCTCCATAAATCGGGGTCATTAGGTAAGTTACAGTTGTTGGTTGGTTAAACTGTCAAACACCAAGCGGTCACCGGTGACCGCAACCTATTGTTCTATAATTGTGTCTACAAAACCGGTACTCAACGAGTTAAGTGCTTCTTTTTGTACAAGATAAGTTCTGTTTTGTTTAAACTTAATTAAACTTCATTGAATCATGTTGTTATATATTTTTACAATTTGAAATCTTCTGTAGTTCTTTTGACTTCTACGAATGAAAATGTTTACTTACCATAGATAGAGCAGAAGATCTTGTCCTCAAAGCGTGTATAGTGGCTGCGACGATGATGATGAAGAGCGTCAAAGTGGCGATGTTGCGAGGGTCACGCCAACATTTGAGTAGTGCCACCGTGCC